TACATATTATTTTGCTCCACCAAGGGAAGGACCTAGTCTTGTATGTAGTTGTGTAGTAGGCCACACACACAGGGCAAGAAGCAGGGCCCAGCCTTCAGCTTCCGATTCTCTGAGCTTCAAGATGTCCTGCAAGCAGTCCACACTCTGCGCGCGCGAGAAAAGAATGCAGCTACATGCCCCCAGCAAGCTGCTTCTCAGTTGCTTTTTCACTGATGAGAGCGCCGAGGCTCTGAGCTGGCCCGCGCAATGTCCAGAAATCTTGCAGGCTGCAGGGCCTGTTCCCAAGCTCACTGCTGTGGCTGTGACTGCTGGAACAGTTAAGCTGCAAAACTAATCACTTCATCGGAGAAACTAGAAACTACACAACTATATAGCATCACAGTGCTCACAGTGGGTTCAGGTCAGCTGAGAAATGAGACACACGTGCCAGCTCTGTCAGTGCTTTTTGGCACTGGCTTTGGCCGACTGTGCGGTGGACTCTTTCGCTGCTGCAGCTGGCCTTTTCAGGACCTGTTTCTGGCATGGGCGCTTGCGCACCACTCCAGCTGGCTCGGACTTGGGCACTGGAGCCACTTGTGGTGTCTTCTTGGTGGCAGGCTTCTTGAGCACACTTGCTTCTGGCTTGGAGTGCTGCCCTGGCTCAGAGTCAGACTCAGCAGCTGGAGGTGTCTCTTTGCGCAGTGCCCGCTCAATCTTTGCAGCTGCCTCCCTTTCTCTCCCTGTCAGCTCACCTGTCAGGGTCACACTATCATACATGAGCTGCATGTCTTCTGCAGCCATCGCCTCTAAGTCTACTTGACTTTGACACTGTGTACGGCTGAGAGAGGGGGGGTGCAGTGCAGACTCACAACTGGGCTCCACTCGGCAAAGTGCACGCGCGCTCTGTTCTTTTCAGAAGCGGGGCAGTCAGACTTTCTGTCATGATAGGGCAGGTGCTCCTCAGTGCCCAGGCAAACAGCTACAAACGTCCAAACTATGAAGCACAGCACTGCTTGACAATGAGTGGTGACCACCTCAACGCAGCCAGGCCACCAGGCTCAAGTGATGCTGTCAGCTGGCAATCCACCACCTGTGACAGGCCAAGCTTGCAATGTGGAGACTGACCTGATCCCGTTTATTCACACCGTTCTGAGGCTCTCTCGTGACTGCGCGAAAGCCCTGCCTCCAGCAGCAGGTGGCGGGCAAAGGCTGTGTTGGGTGCAGGGGCTGATGGCAAACAGTTTGCAGCAACTTAATAGGCTGCAAGACAAGAGCACCTCCCTGCACTGACAGCCATGCGTTGCATTGACACGCATGATGAAATTTGATCGCGAGCTGAAATTGACTCTCCAGCTTGCAATGAGCAACAAACAACTCAATCAACTGCGTTCCTTCAAGGAACGCAGTTGATTGACATTGAGTTGATGTTTGTTGCTCACTGCAAGCTTGAGAGTCAATTTGCAGCTCGCAATCAAATTTCATCATGCATGTCAATGCAACTTGGCAATTTGGCACCGGCTTGCCTTTTTCTGACTCTAGCTTGTGGCTCTATGGCATGTGCGCATCAGCTGCACAACTACAGAGGCCATGTAGCAGGCGCACAGAAACTGCTCAGCTACAGGACTACCTGCCTGCAGTGTGTGTGTGCTTAAAGCCTGCCCAACCACAAGACTACAAAATGTAGTCTACTCCTGCAGTGTGTGTGCAAAGCCTGCCCAACCACAGGACTACAAAATGTAGTCTACTGGGCAACTCGGGCAACAAGCTCCCATGTGTGGTCTGGCAGGTGAGGAAAGTACACATTGCGCTGCCCGTGCTCGTCAGCTTCACTTGGGAAGTACGGTCTTGGCTGTAAACACCAGGCGAAGGCAATGCGGTGGTACTCTCGCTTGTACACAGTGTCCCGCAAAGCTGCAGCTGCGTCGGGCATTTGGAACTTGGTCTCGCAAACTTGGGCCAGCTTGAGACAGGACCGGATCTCTTTGTCTGACAGCTCTTTGCGTTCCACAATGTCTTGCGGAGCTGGGCTGCGAAGAAGCACCAGCCGTTGCTCTCTCAATACCAGAACTGGGGCTTGCTGCAAGCCCAGGTCGCGCACGTATGATTTCACACAGCAGTAGACTGATGTGCTTTCTGGAGCATGGTCCATCATGTCGCGGTAAGATCTGGACAAGCTGGCTCCCTTCATAAGCATGAAGCAGTGTGGGGCATCCACCCCTCTCCGCGTCATGAAGGCGTTTGACAGCTCCTCAGCTGATTGCTGAACAGCTCGAGTTTGGATGACTGGCTTGTGTGTGCTCAGGCCCCCACAGTTCCTAATGGTGCCAACCAGTTGGCAAAGTCATGAACAGCTGTGATCATATCCACGACGAGCTCCTCATTCTTGCTCTCCACACGGGGCTGCAGCTTGTCTTTGATGATGGACAACATTGCCGCTGGTGTTTGCCACACCCGAGCTGAAATGAGGATGGCCTGTGTGGCAGGTTTGCTGAGCTCACCCTAACACAATGGCGCGCCAGCCTTAACCAGCGCAAAGAGCTGATCAATGTCCTGCAAGACAGGTGGCTGTCGAGCCAACTAGGTTGCGAATCAGAAGTGCTCCCGGTCCTCATGAGTATGTCCAACCATCAAGTGGAAGAGCACTGTAGTGGTGAAAAGCTTTCGGGAGACTAGCCAAGCCAAAAGCATGACAACGTATTGATTTTTGGCCTGGGCCACTGTGTTGTCTGTGACTACGATGAGATGAGAGGGCACGCTCTGGCTCGTGCGTCGGGCCATGTGAAAGACACCCTCCAGTGTGCGAAAGAGCACTTCCAGAAAGTGGTCCTTAGAGCAGCTGGACACACTGAACTTTGAAGGTGAACTACGTCATGAATCAGCAGAGCGGCTGAGCCGTGATTCTCATGCTCCGCTGCACCAAAAAGGAACGTCCCCCACCCGTGTGCGAGGGCTCCTGTAAGCACCATTTTTGGCCGCACCAGGGTATCCATCTCCTTGGAAGTCCGGTCGTGGCCGAAGTGTGGCCACGCTGTGCCCCACTTCCCCATGGAATCGATTATCACCACAAGGACAGATCTCCGGTAAGTCGATGCCCACCGCATTCCCCAGTAGAGGGTCCTGTCCATATATTGAAGCCTCTGATGCTCTCGCAAGTCACGAGCGGCACGCACCTGGAGCAGGAGTCATTCATTTTTGCGGCCGGTATAAACAATTTTTGACTGCCCTGGCCTTGGCTTCCCAATGGACTTTCGGATCGCGAAGCAGGAGCTGAAGGTCAAAACAGCGCTTGCATTGTCCGTGTTGAGATGTCTTCCGCATGAGCAAGATGTGGCGCCAGTGACTCTTATATCGTCTGCAAAACACCTGGTACGACGGCATTTCACCGACATCTGGTCGCTTGGATTGCAGCACCTCCCACTCGGCGCTGAATTGCCAATACAGGTCAAGAATCCTGCAGTGCTGGATATGCCGAACTGGAAGCCCCAATACGTTGGCGCAAGCGGCAACAGTGAGAGGCGGGGTATCGAGCCACTCAAAAGTCCAGTCCTGCACTGCAAGGCAGCCAGGCACAAAAAAATACAAGTGACAGAAATCTGGCTCCTCCCATGGATTCAAGTCCCTGATGCTCTTCTTGGCAGCAGTCTGCAGGCAGTGTGGCTTTGCCATGAGCTACAAGCAATGTGCAGCAAATGCAAGCACTCAGCTGCGCAACTGCGCAGGGCTGCCTTTCCGGCAACTGCAGCAGCAGAGCCATCACTGGTCTGCTTGATCTGAAGATACACCTGCCAGACTCAGAGTAACAAAATGCTGTGGCAAAGCAGCTGCGCATAGCCCGCGCCTGTTCTGTCTCTGGCAGGGGCTCGGCGGCAGAGGCGTGCAGCTGGCGAAAGAAGTTGTCGCACTTCATGGTTTGAAGGGCAGGACGTGGCTGGGGAAGACCTGCTGCTGCAGTCCTCATGTCGAGCTCTCCTGGCAGTGCAGACTGTGTCAGCTGTGACTGTTGTGGAGTTCTTGCAGTCCTGCAATGCTCTTGCGAATTGTTCTCTGGCTGGATCCTATAACCGTGCAGAACCGTGAGAAGCAGACTTGCGTTCCCATGATGTGCCAAGCAGTCTTCATGTTAATCTGATCGCTTTTCGTCACCTCACTGTCAGCGCCGCAGTCTTGCAAGCCACCGTAATACAAGCAGCGAAGCAGGTGGCTGCGCTCCTCTCCAGTGAGAGACCAATAGGTCCTCAGAAAGGCCATGGTGTCATTCTGTGGTATCGCATTTGGCCTGCAGCCTGGGCGAGTGCAGCCCTTCCGGCAGGAAGACCGCAGAATGTTCTGCACACGTGCTGCATTCTGCCCGTTCAGCTCGAACGCATTCAAGGGCTTCTCCCCTCTCTGCGAGGTACTTTGAGCAATCTGGGCGCCAGTCTCCAAGTGTAGCTCATGGCTCTTCAAAGGAGCACTGGCCTGCGCCCATGGGTCAGGCTCTGCAGCTTCTGTGCTCTCACCACGGCTGATCAATCGTGGCTTCTTTCTTGGAGCACTGTCAGAAGGTGACCACCAAGGTGATGTCTCTTTCTCTGCAACCTCACAGTTTTCCCACGGGTCGGTGTCTGATGCCATGCCATGTGGACCAAGCTCTCAGCACAAAGCACCACATATCTTGCTCTGCGGCTAGGTGTGACGCACTGGGTGTTTGCGCAAAGCTACACATGCCTTGCTCTGCTGCCACCCTTGCTGCAACACTTCGCAACAGCCTTGAGCATGACCTGCGGACAGTGAAATTGGCAGAGTCTATCCATGCTGGCATGTCAATGCAGTGAAATCACGCACTTCCTTTTTGCTATGCGTCAAGTCGGCAGTTGGCAATGATTGCCGTCAAGAAAGAGAGAGGCATACCGCGTGTGTGTCAAACTACAAGACTACATGACAATGAACACATAATTTAACTCACTTGGCGCAATCGACACTCACGCTACACACTTTGGCTGAGTGAAAGAGTGAGCGCACACTCACTACAAAACTGTGCCTCACAAAGAATAGATCTCACCCGTCTTGACCCGTGTGGCAGACTTGAAGTGCATGCATGGGATTCCCTGGCGCAGGCTCTTGGAGTCTGAGTCATACTTGACGTGGTGGACTGCTTCAATGAGGCAGAGCTTTCCATAGTCCACGTAGCTGGAGATGATGTCTTTCTTGATCTGCTTGTTGTTTCCGAGAGGCTTTGAGGAGACACTTCCAGGACAAATGCAATGTCATCGGTTGCTGTCACCTGCCTTTCTCCAGTGGGGCCCTGGCTCACCTTGTGCTTGAACACATCCCCGAGCACTTGGCGAAGATTTGCCAGAGCAGCCAGCGCTGTCTTCAAAGGGATGGGGGACTTGGGAAGCTCCAGCTGGCTTTTGGTTGTGTCCTGTGTGAGGAGGACAACTGTCTCACTAGTCATCTCACCTTTGATGATCTGCTGGCCTGACTTGCTCTTGGCCTCCTTGGCAGCTGCACCAACCTTGAAGTTGCCCTTGCAGCTGAAAAGTGGGATGTCTGGAAGTAGCACTGTGTCATTCAAAGCTTTCAAGTAGAGCAATCCGTCTGGCTGAAGCCAAACCTCAAATTCCGAGGTTGCCACATCTGTCTTGCACAGCTGCGCCATGTCTGGGGGAGGGCTGGCAGGTGTAGGGGACACTGCTGGGCACTGTTCCAGGCGAAGGTCCGACACAGACTCTTCTGCAGAACGCTTGCGGCTGTCTGGATCACATGGGACACCGCTTGGATTGAACTCGTCATCGTGCGCCTTCTGAATCATTTCCCAAGTGATGGCAGTCCCTGGCTTGAGTGGGTCGTCCACTGTGGCACCTCCCAGCGCCTTACCCTGGGTGACTGTGGAAAGCTTGAGGGGCAGCTCTAAGTTCACCCGCGGGACAGTGAGCTCGTAATCCTTCAGATTGCACTTCGGCGCCTCCCCTGCTTGGGCCTGGGCGCTGGCCACCACATCTGGAATGGTCACCCCTGTGCCCACCTGATACTGCTTGCCTCGCAGCTTGGCCTTCACCGCCTGGCCAAGGCTTGTGGCGACGTTCTCCTGGATCACATCCCTGCAGTTGAGAATGGGGAGAGCTTAAAAACTTAATTAATGCTTGCTGGAGCTTCTGAAATCGATTGACCCTTCCCGCCTGACGAGCTGCTTCTCTGGGGCCCAGCTGACTCCACAGTACCCCACACGTGGGTCATTCAGACTCTCGGAAGTGTTCATGTTGATGCAGCTCTGGCCCGGCTCGTCGTCCAACATGCAGAAGTCCACAATCTGGACTCGCTTGCTCTTCTTCAGCACAGAGCCCTTGACCAAGCCCTTCACCAGGGAAGAGAGCAACTCCTGCCCTGAGAACCACTGAAGCTGCTCAACATACATGGAGTTGTTGCTGCCCCCCGCCCCTTCGAACCCCACTGGGACCTTCCAGTTCTTGAACTGGGCTCGAGACATTGGCTGTTGTACACCACATGCTCCTCTTTTCAGGAGGACTGAGTTTCCGAACATGTGATTGTAGCTGTGCTGCTTGTTTGCAACGCGGCACTTCCCCGACACAATGAGCCACACCTCAAAGGCTAGCTCGCGCTCACTTGAATAGAAGGACTGCTCATCCCACTGGCCTGAGACGCGGCGGACCACGAGGTCATGTTGTGGGGCTGCCAGCTCCGAGGCCCATCGCTCCACATTGGCTTGGACACTTGCAGCCCTCTCATCCCCGGATGTGTCCATCTTACCGTAGCATGGCTGGCACGGTGGGAACCTGAGTGCCACAAACCAAAGCCAAGGATGTGCAAATTATGCCAGAATTCAGCCCAGGCACACCATGTGAAGCACCATCGGGGGGCGGACGGAGCAGTCCAAAGCAATGACTTGAACCACCTCCTTCACAACCTTGGAAGCCTCTGCGCCAAGCTTGGGAAGGTTCCACTCCACAATGGTCGGAATTTCGTCTGCGGGCACAGGCCGGTCTGCGTCTGCCAAGACTTGGCGGTGAGCCGCAGCAAGTCTCGCCGCTGCTTGGATGTTTGCGGCAGTGTGCATGTGGAACCAGTGCCGCTTGTGGCTCGCCCATGCCTCCTCAAGCTTGTCCTGCTGCTTGGCAACCTGTGAGTTGAAGTCCCCCAGGGCGCAGTCCTCAAAGCACTTCACCTTGGCCAGGTGACTTCGCCACGCGCGCTGCTCCTGCAACAAGGAGCTGTGGAGCTTCTGCAAGAGGGACTGCTTCTCGGCCACACCAGCCATGTTCAAAAAATCGGTGGGCATACCCTCCTGGGCCTCCAAGGCCACAAACACAAAGTCCCGGGGCTGGAAGTCTTTCCTTCTTGCTGCCACAGGTGGCGCAATCTTGGAGTCCAAGCGGCCCGTAAGCCACATTGTCTGGAGTACTTGGAAGCGCTCCTCTCCCAAAGTCTTTTGAAAGTACTCCTTGAAGAACTCCATGGCTTGCGCCATCTGGAACACTTCGAGCTCGCAGCCAGTGTCGCGAAACTGGGAAGAGCCCGCCACCGACTTCACACTGGGCACTTGGCCGCAAAGTATGGCTTGCTCTATGCCGTAGTTCCACTTTCCTGCAACTCTGCGACCCCACATGGTGACTTTGGCCCAGCTGTGCTCGAAGATGTTGAACCATGCCGGGTTCTCATCTCGCTTCCTCAGCACTGTGGCTGTGTGCGCCACACTGGCTCTAGACTCCTAACTAACGTGCTGCACTGCTCAAGTAACTGCGGGTTAGTGTCACTGGGTTTGGATAGCTCGGCTGCAAGAAGTCTCGATTCAACATGCTGACAGGGAAAGCGGTGTGTTGAGGGGCCTCCGTTTGGTGAGCAGCTGCCACAATATGTCTGAACTCTGCACCTGCGGAGTCCATCAGTACGATGGCTGTGATCTCTTCGTGGCTGACCCGGGCCTTTGACACTGCAAGCCGATTCTGCGCATTCACCAATTGGCGGATTCTTTCATCTCTGGGCCTAGGCTGCGCAGCCAAGTTGCAATACTCCGCAGCAGGACTCGACACAGTGACTGAATCTTCCTACTACTCATGTGAGCCCATGTAAGCCCGTGACCTCCGATTGGCAGGGCTCTTGGCAAGAAGCCGGTTGTAGACAAACCAATGCTGGTGCGGTGAAGGGTGTGTCCGGGAGGCGGCGGCACGCTTTTCGGAAAGGGCTTCTAGCATTTGCTCGGTGGGATCATCCTTGGGGTCTGAAATGCCGTGCAGAACAAGGCATTTCATCAGCCTGGTCGCTACCTCTTTCTGTAGCCATGACCCTTGATCCAGTTGGGACAATATGTCCAACTGGGCTGCAGCCAGCGCAAATGCGTAGCACGCCATCACTGTGCCACTGCCAATGACAATTGCCACCGAAAAACTGCCCAAAGCACCTCCCGCTGGTTGCGGCGATGGGTTCAGCATGTGGGCAAACTGGAACAGGATCTCCAGAGGGAACTTGTGCGTCTCGTTCCCTTTCTTGTGCGTGATGAACTTCTGGAGATTGTCTCGCCTTGGCGCACTTTGCTTAGACAAGGTGTGACTACACTTTCTGTGAAATGAACTCTGTGCTGCAGCCTAAGTCTCACTGCGTAGGACTGGACGGGGCCCTTGACCTGGGCATCCTCGCAGAACCCGATCAAGGTGAGGGGGATCTTGAACTTGAGGTGCCCTGACTCAGATGTCAGTCTCTCCGGCACTGTGGAGACAACATCAGCTCCCCGGGGCGGCAGTGAAAGGACTTCGCGGCAGGCTAGCTCCAAGCCATCGAGCATCCGAAGAAGCTCAGCTTGCCCTTCCGGTGTGCCATACTTGGATTGCAGCCAGTGGTGCACTGTTGGCCACAGAGGCTGCCCAGAGCCATCCTTCTGCCCAGACTCTGTGACAACTTTCTCAAAGATGGCCTTGTAGATGTTAGAGAGCTGGTCTTCCTGCCAGAGAGAGGGAGAGAGAGGACTCAATACAAACTTGCTTTTGTGCCCTGCCTGCGCTGGCATGGCGCAAGCAGATGTGACCAACTTACTACGCAACTAGCAAACTAGTTGGCAGTCGACGACTAACTACACAACCAGTGAACTGGTTGGCAGTCTCAATGGCTACGGCAGTTTGTGTGCACATGGCTTATCAATGCAAAACAGTGCTGACAGCTGTCAAGCCGCCCATAGCTTGCTCAGCAGTTTCCAAACAGCGCTGCATCCGGTCTGTGAAGCTAGGTCAGAAAATTCACACGCTTGCCGCGCTGCGCAGGGATGCACACACTACACAACCCACAAAACAACTACTAAACCAAGGACCTGCAACAACTACACAACTAAGACATCCTGCGCAGCTTGCACGTGTGGCTTACAGGGATGCAATGGCTAGCTGTCACTGCAGCAGGCCCAAGGATCGTGCGCACTGCGGCTGTCATCCTGTGAAGGGTTGGCCCCAAGAGCTGGACCGGCTGCAGTGTCACACAGGTCCGACACTTGGCTGGCATCCTTCCACGGGTCGTCACCTGTGCTGGCACCACTGTCCCGCCAAGGATCTGCCCAGCTGTTTGGAAGTGCACGGGAAGGAGGTGCGTCTGCTACACTGCCCCACGGGTCTGTTTGCTTGGGCCTGCTCGGGGCTGCCAGACTGTCAGCGGAAGTCTTTGCAGTAGTTGCGTCACTCAAGCGACGCTTCTTGGCTGCAGGAGGCTGCCACGTCCCTTTGGCTTCCCAAGCATCCACAATTGCAATACCCAGCCTTGGAGGGTACAGTCCCGACAACAAAAGGGCCTCCCTCTGGCCGTCCTTCTTGACCTTGCCGTCTTGGCCAGTGCGCGACACCATGAGCGGCTGGTGCTGTCGCCCTTTGCAAGAGCACGTCAGCACAGCTCTCTGTATCCACCACCCACTACACAGGATCTTGTAGTGCTTGTACATCCTTGGCTCTGGGCCTGGATCAAATGCGCAGCGGTCAAGGTACACATAGTTCGCAGCACCAACTTCAGCCAACACTTGTAGAGTCGAGCTGAGGAAGCTGAAGATCTGTGACCCAGACGGATTCTCAAACAGGGCCTCGCAGCCCTTCAGCACTGCCAGGCAGTATAAAAAAATAGCCATGCGGGCCATGGCATTTCCTTCTGCAACTTTGTCATACATCTCATTTCCATTGACGTTGTCCTTGTTTCTCAAAGTCCACCGCCAAGGTGCAAAGCCAAAGCTCGAGCACTGTGGGGCTAGAGTGCAGAGCCCATCAGGCTTTAGGCGCTGAACTAGCCTCAAGGCTGTGTAGAATCCAGCTTTTCCAAGTATACTGTCGTCTCCAAGCTCTATGTCAAAAGCTTCTGCTTTGTAGTTCTTGGCCGCAGCAGCCAGTGCTATCGACCTCTGAGATGTAAAGATTTCAATCACATCAAGGTCTTGGTCCACATCTCTGCATCCATCCACAGCAGTGGCCAGTGTGTTTCCAAAGAACTGCAAACTCACACCCCTGAGCAAAGTGCTACGCTGTGCGTCGGTCAGCTTCACCATCACCGCGGGGCTTTAAAACTCTCTCAAAGCCCCAGAGTTTGAGCCTGGCTGCGCGGTGAAGATTTCCATCGCAGCACGCAAGTGCAAGATATGTGCATTGCCCAGCTGCAAGTCTTTCGCAGCCTTTTGCAGAACCTTTTGCGCAAGAATGCCATGATGGGACCGACTAGACAGCTAGTCTTGTTGGCATCCTTGCCTCCTACTAGTCTCTTGGTGTGTCAGTGGCGCAGGTGCTCACCAAACAAAGTACACAACTAAAAAACTACACAACTACAAAACACAGTTGAAAGCTTCTGAAGCACTGCGAAAACTGGGTCAGACACAGCAAGCTGAGCACATGCCGCTGGCAACTGCCATGCGCTGACACCGCACTCTGGATGGCTCAATGCTGGGCCAAGCCGAGGCGTTCGAGGTGGATGCGCGCCCAGACCTCTATCTCTTCCTTCAAAACCTCCCTTTGCCCCGCCTCCTTCTGCACAGCCCTCCACAATGAGCGAGCTGCGCAGTCTGTGGTCAGGGAGCTTTCCACATAGAAGATGCTTCGCAGTGTGCGCCACATGAGGGCACCCTTTGCCGTGTTTGGACACTTCCGTCCGGCGAAGGTCGCAGGCCACTGACTTTCTGCCTTGCGCTTGCGTTCCGCAGCTTTGTCAGGAGCTGCGGCTGGAGCAGCTTCAGCAGGTGGAGGGCTCTTTGGGGCAGGCTCCTCCTTGACTGGTCCAGGATGTGCAGGCACACCACGCGGTGAGTCGTAGAGCTCTGCGACTTTGCACTCTTCCAGGTGCTGCCTTGCAAGTCAGCACAGTAGCACACTCTTGACAAGGAAGATCAGGCCCGAGCAAGTACGCACCGGGTGAAGTCTTCTCATCGCCATCCTCGTCACTTCCAGGCGCAGGCGACAGCTGCCTAGGATGGCTGGCACACAAGCCACAAGCAGCTGGAACTGAAGCCAAGGGCGGTGCTCAAGGCTGGGCGCAGGCAGTGGGCATTCCCCTTCACCCTCACTGGCCCCAGATGGAGATGACTGCTTCCTTGGACGGTGTGCGCACTGAAGAGGACACCTGGTCAAAGCCAGAAGTGCACGAGGTCCCGGCGTTGGAAGTTCCCCCTCACTATTACTGCTTCTGCGTGGTGGAGGTGGGGGTGGCCTGGGACACTGAAGCCACCTCTTGTGAAAGAGCCAGCTTCCTGGGGACCGGGCCCAAACTCAAGGCCTTCATCTTGACCTTTGAGGTGTGCGC